TTCGTCGATCCATTCATCGAGACGAATTCCTCTCTTTCGGAGACATCGGGTATAGTTTGGCCGGTCGAGGTAGGGCAGCTCCTTCCTCGAAGTCAATACCATGGTCGTATGGTTTGCGCTCCGGCATCTGCTCCGATTTCTTTTGTGAGAATACGTCCCCGAACTCATGTAGATATTCAGGGATGAGAGACTTCCACTTGGTGGTGTCCGCATCCTCCTCCTCAACATCCTTGTTCAGAATGCTTGCGACAAATTCTGCCATTTGTAGGTCCTCCGGATCGTCTGTCGAGATCCAGTTGATGTATGGATTTTCAGTACACTCCTCTCCTAAGGCGTCCAGCGGAGTGACTAAGGGTTCCTCCCTTGGTAACTGAAGCTCGTCGGTTTCTTCATCAGTCACACGATTAGTTTTACAAGCTTTGGGGGCACAGCTCTCAGGGCACCTGGTGTACCTCCACTCCCCTTTGGCCCAGTCGATCTCAGGATTGTGTGTTCTAAGATAGGTCATGCCAAGGATCATGTCCTTTCTTCCCAAATCTGCGACTAGCAGTGGGTGTGTCAACTTATGTAATCCTATTTCAACGTAGGCTCTAACGGACTTATTTATTTGACCGCTTTTATTGGAGGTCCCATCTGCGTTATAAACGTTGTACGGGGTTGCCAGCTTATGCGTTACCAGGCTGTTACTTTCAACAACTGACCGATTGATGAACGATGTTGTGGCCCCTGAGTCTACCAAAGCTTCGACCTGCACTTTCTTTCCGTATACCCACAGTGTCACAGGCAGAGTGAATGAATTCTTGTTGCGAGAGATATTTACAAGACTGCTGTGTACACTATCTACATTGATTCCGACGGTGGGTGCCGATTCCTTAAGTACATGTTCACAGGTAGTCACATGTACTTCTTCCAAAAATCCGAGGTAGCTGCGGTGGGTTCTGTTTTTGCAGACAGCTAGGGTTCATCCTTCCCAGCCAGAGTCGATTCCTCGATGTTCGCAATCTCCTTGATTCTCGCAGTGTTGGTGCTCACAGCTTTCGTGGACGGGGGCGTGTCGTCCTCGCTATCCGTAAGCTCGACTTGAATAACCCGCGTTTTCTTAGCCTTCTTGGCCGCGGGGTTACCGCTTCCCCCTTGCATCTTCCTAGCGCCATCCCCTTGGGTATTCGGCCGCTTGTCCGCATTTTTGGCCAACTTGTAGCAATCATCTGTGTTATGAGTTTTCGACTTGCAGATGATGCAATACTTCTTTGCCTCTGTCGAGGCGGCCTCAGCGTCCTTTGCCTTGCCTTTGCCTTTACCCTTCGATTTCGACTTTTCAGCCGAATCGATGTCCATGGGAACAGCGCCGCCGTTATCCGAGCCACTGTTTTTGAATACTGAGCCTCGTGCCTTCTCCGGGTTGACAATCTTGTTGATGTTGAGCAAGATGTCGAGGAACAATGTCCAATCCTTTGGCAAGGTGGACTCGTCCTTTCCGGCCAACACCAACCGCATGTCACGAGGTATAACCTCCCGAAGTTTGTCAATGAGGAGACTATCGTCATACTCTGTGAGACGTCCGAGGGTGCGGAACCTCTCAGCATACTTCACGAAGTCCTTCGAGGCCAGATCCTTATTGATGAACAGCACCGTGATCTCCTTCTTTGCACCCTCCTTGTCGTCGCGTTGCCCGTATATCTGGGCTAGTTCCGCCACAAATGCCTTCCAGGTGCCCAGATCCTTTCCTTCCCGCATTTTCACATAGTAGCTCTTCATGTACTGATGAGCTGGTCCTTGCAGCTTCGAGAGGGCCGTGACGATTCGCTGTTTGTCAGTGGCCACTCCCTCATGCTCGCACCACAGTACGATTGTCACGACTTGGTACGGCGCCTAGCCGTTTTTTAATTTTTCCTTTTCGCGGGCTCGAACCCGCGACCTCTGTACTACCTGCCTGATATGGACACGTCGTTATCTACTGTACGATTAGATTAGATAGGACGGCAGTGCACGGCACAGCTCGGGCCCCGCTGACGCAGCCGCTCTGACTCACCGGCCCCCGGGGCCGCGTCGGCATGCTGCGCACAGACCAGCTGCACACGGACCAACGCGCACAGCCTGCCCTTATCTCCCCATGTATATAAGCCGGCCTCTGCTGCCCTAGGGACCTCAGTTTCGACCTCTTGTCCCTAGGTCAGTAAGCCCCAGTTGTATCCTTTACTTACCTTCACTAACTAATACATTTCTTGTCCCTAGCCTTAGGTTTGAGCCTCGCTCACCATCGCTTCGGTGAGAATCAGTCGGACGCCCCCAGCCTTCAGGTATTCCCCAGTCGCTTGACCTCAAGTCGCGACATTAGGTCGAAACTCCCCAAGCTGCCGGCGTCCTCTCGGGACTCCCCACATTCACTTTCCTTTCCCACAGGTCGGGTGGTGCGCACCCCTACGATACCCTACGGTACATACGATACGTAGGTAGTCTTACATACATCGCCACCCCTAGAGGAACGAACTCTTCAACACCTGCACTTCAGTGGGCGGTGTTTGTCCTCACGGACGCGTGGACTAGGTTCCTGCTGCATAATAATCAAAAGCAGTACTGGGCCCCACGTGAACTGCGAACCTCAGGG